TTAATAAAACCCATGCACTAATCAAGCAGATAAGTATGAATTTCAATCACTTTTTATTAAAATTGCCATCATCAAATCAACAATCCAATTAAAAAATGTAACAAAGCATTTGGTAATTGGTATTCTAAAGACATCTAACCCCACTAGTTAACTTTTACAAACTATTTATTACCAAGTTCTCAGACATAGAAACAATATTTCAAATTATTAAATATCAACTGTCAATAAAAACAAAGTTTTCGTCCATTTTTCTGCAGATGTAAATGAAATGAGAATTTGGATCTTCTAAAACATAATCAGCAGTAAACAATCCTTTCTCGATGGTGACCTGGTGGCCTTTGGAAACCAGGCCGAGCTGCAATAAAAATATTTCAATTAGACTTCTTGTCAGATTGTACTGCTTTTGGCATGCATGAGACTGATGTCCATGGGACAAAACAGAAACTCGCTCTTGATCTCTCGTCTGTAAAAGACATGAATGTCCTCATCGTCATCATCAAATATAGCGCTAGAAATCCTTCTAGGGTAATTTTCGATGATGAAGGGTATTTACATCTTTTACACAAACGAAAGATTGCGAGCGAATGGTTGTCCCACTTTTTGGGTGGAATAAAAAAAAATACAATTTTTGTCCTTTTCCCACAAAATGCAGTACAATTTTGTTATGTCATGTTCTGCATAAAGAATTTCATTTTCTATGCACTATTGAGTGTTTGTTGGATCATGACAAGTGTCCCAGGTTTTACTAGATGTATATTTGATGAATACATTGGCTATAGGAATTAGGATACACTTGTGGGATTAAATACAAGAAATAACATTGTACTTTCATTCATTTGTTTATAGCATCCTAATTTCATTTCTTGTTACAATAATGTGTTTTGAAAAATCTACCTAATTATAACAATGTCATTCAGATACAAAACTATTATATTGGGTATGATTTTTCAACGTTTGATGTCATAATAAAAAACTGGAAGTACAATGCTATATTTGGGTAGATTTTTCAAAGTACAATACCTTAGTAAAATAAAATGTAAGTGCAATGTTGTAATACAAAGAAATAAAAGTAAGATAATATTTTACACAAATACATGGATGTGCATTGCTATTTCTTGCATTTAGTACCCCCTCCTTATAATGAGAGAGAGAACATTCTTTTTGTATCTAGAAATAAAATCATGGTTATCTTTGTTTAGATTTCACCACTTGTAAGACTTTTATACTTTCAATTTTATTTCAATATGTTGAACACCAAAGAATATTTTTCTGGGATTAAGTGATGTACTTATATGAAAAGTAATAAGATACACTAAGGGACTGTTTGATAATTGTTGATTCAGATACACCTTGTATCCTAAATCGGACCGAGTAAGAGGTGTATCAGAGGAGCCATGACTGAGTTAGAAGCTTCTAAGTGTGATATCAAACAATGTGAATATGAACGAGCCAGACCCACATTCTTATCAAATCCAGAGGCATATCAAACAAGCCCTAAGACCCTGTTTGGCAAACTAGCTGGTAGCTAATAAGCTAGCTTATGAATTAATAGTGTTTGGTAAAAAGTAGGTTATAAGCTATATGGCAATGTAAAATGACATAAATGTACATTTATATTTATAACTAAAAAAAGAATATATACAATTAATGGCATATTTGGAATATTTTTTCAAAATCTCCATAAGCTTTTTAAAATCCATCTCAGAGTAGCTTATCAAAAGCTACCTTATAAGCTAGTTCATAAGCTAAAATAAGCTACTTTTGTGGTTTTACCAAACAATAAGTTACAATAAGCTAGCTTATTTTTGCCAAACAGCGCCTAAAAGCCTGGATTTTATGATTAATGATAAATTAAATAAAATTATTGCTTTTTGTCTTGTAATAATAATATATCGCAACTATGTATTTATTCTAATAATTAAAACATTAAGAGGCAAGCAATAAATTATAACTTCGGTTAAATTAATATGGTTATTTAATAAGCAAATTGCAGGAGACAGTCACATAACATCACCCCTTTCACTTATATACATAAATAACATGTTTATATTTCTTTACCGATAATAAATGTACAACAAAATATACTACATTACCCATATTAGTAGAAAAATGTAAGCGCGTTACTATTATTAGTAAAAAAGAGTATTATTTCTATTATAGGTAAAAAATGTAAGTATGTTGCTACAATCGTTGAAAAAATATATAATAAATATACATTGCCATATTGGTTAATCATATCAAATAATTAATTACGTACACTATTTGGTACATAAAAAGAATTATAGAAAGCACTCATATATGATGTACAACTCTATTTTCCAATTGTAAGTTGGTCTGTCTATATGAGTTATCCTTACCGTTGGATCGCCATATGTAATTTGTAGAAAGAAGATATAGTTAAGAGTGATTAGTATCTACTATTTAGTTTTTATAAAGGGAATATAACTTAGAACTTAAAAGAATGGTTCAATGTCCTACCAGCATATAATTCCCTTTGAGTTTAAGAATCCTACAAATAAAATAAGACATGTTATTATAAATAAAGGAAATTACAAGGAATAGCAACGTACTTTCATTGTTTCATTTCTTCCTATTATAGCATTGTACTTTGAAAAATCTATTCAAATGAAGAAATCCATATAGATTATTCATTTTGGATCTTGATTGTTATTAATGGAATTTTAGTAATTCAATTCGTTGATAAATCTAAGATAATATATAATAGTCGGGTAATCTAAGTGTTTGAATTGTTCTTTCAACATACTAGATCTATCCTAAGTTGTTAGATTTTTTATATAGAGCTGATAGGATTAGAATGGAAGTGTTTAATGGCCATTTTTTTAGGTTTTTGCATGAATTGTGTGAGTTGTGCAATTTACACGAGTTGTGTAATTTAATATTCTTTTTTTTTTCAAAGAGTAAATCATATATGTGGTTTGGTGACTATATGGTTGTTACTAATGATTTTCCTACATCACATAGAATAATAGTTAACGGATCGATTGAGTTAATTGAGTTATAAGTAATCTAAATGGTTACTTAATTTGGATTATTGATGAAAATTTGTGTAATTATCCATATATAAGTGTTGTTGGAAGTCTTATGTATGTTATGGTATGTACTAGAACTAATTAGGCTCATGTAAATAGTGTTGTGGAAAGTCTCATGGAAAGAGATTACTTGATCATGATTCTATATTCGAGTGTTGTTGAAAGTCTCATGTATGTTATCTATGTACTAGATATGATGTGGCTCATGCAATTACTACTGTAAGCAGGTTTATGAGTAATTCGGGAAAAGCTCATTGAGAAGCGGTCAAGTGGATAACATGATACATGAAGGGAACAAATAACAGTTGTCTGGTTTATGGTGTCAACACACAAAATAATATATTGGTTGGTTATGCAAACTCGGACCATGCCGATGATCCGGTGAAAAGAAGATCACCTACATGTTATATTTTTACTTTATTCAGACGTGTTATAAGTTGGAAGTCAACATTACAACCTAATGTTGCCTTGTCTACAACTGAAGCTAGGTACATGTCGATGACTAAAGGAATAAAAGAGTGCATATGACTACATGTTCTAGCTCAAAGTCTTGGGTTGAAGGTGGATAAACATTTCTTGTTTTTGTGACAATCAGAATCCTTTGTGTCTAGCAAAGAATATGGTATGTCATGAGAAGACAAAGCATATTGATGTAAGGTTGAATTTCTTCAGGGGTAGTTGGAACAAGAAAGGTTCTCTAATCAAAAGATATATACTGAGGAGAATTCAAATGATATATTGACAAAGTCGTTGCCCATATAGAATTTCAAGCATTGCTTGGACTTGGTAGATGTTCACGAGAAGTAAGTCCATTCGTGGCAAAATGGCAGGAGAGAGGAGTTCTTGGTTTCTAGAGTTTTATGTGATACTTAAGTCAAGGAAGATTGTTAAATGTGACTTGAGAATTGACGACCCAAATGGATATTGACCCACATGATCAAAGTAAATAAACCTAACACCCGATATCATTGCGATAAGTGTTCGGAGTAGGCTGAGGGTCGTTAGACCCGAAGGCATACACAACTGATAGCTAGGGTTTATTGTACTATCGTTTTCAAGCTTGTGAATAATATTACTTTCACCTATTGTGTTGACATATGTCATATTGACCGAACCACGCTAAATATTGTATCTTTATGTGTGATTTGTTCTCGTTTAATCCTAACACATTTCTTGACGACCAAACCGATGAGCGTTTAAAGATGACATGATTAATAAGTTTATGTGAAAAAAAATGACTAGTATTCCCTTTGACAGTAAAACAAAGTACAAAAGATAACCAAAATATGAAAGCAAGACAGATAAAAATTAGGAAAGGGCCAAAGAAAAATGGAGCCTTTCTAGCAGTTATATATCTAGAAAGGTACATACGACTATGCCTGATCCCTTGGGTGTGGTCAATTTGACTAGACCGTACAGAGTAGATGCTATTGCCTTAAGCCTTAGTAGAAGCTCAATTGGGATCATAAAGTCATTTGTATGGGCATTAAATGTATGTATTTAATATCTTGGTTCTAAAATACGAAATTAATCAAATGGGGTGAATTCTTAGCATGTAAATAACTTATTCTTATAAGTTAACATTTGGTATCAATAAATAGAGGATTGAATTTATCTCCAATTTGTGAAGTAGTTAGTTAAACGGGTGGAGTTGTTTTTCATTGTTAGGGTTCTACACAGAAACCGTGGTTGATTAATTCTTCAAAACATTTTTCAAACACATAAATTATAAATACGACCCTTTATGATGCATGACACATCCTGATGAATGAAATGTCATACTGCTTGCCTACCTTTCTTATTATACTCCCTCCTTATTTTAGCAAAACTCTGTGAACTAATCATGTAGATACGTACGAATTTCAGTCACTGTTTATTAAAATTACCTTCATCAAAATCAGCAATCCAATGAAAATCTATATATTAAAAAAAGAAAAGAACAAAGCATTAGGTATTTTAAAAACATCTAACCCCGCTAGTTTAACTTTTACAAACTGTTTATTAATAAATGATATTTGTAATTAAATGTCACAATCAAAGGAAGGCAGGTGAGTCACTGAGATCCGGGTCTTGACCCATTTTTGTGCAGATGTAAATGAAATGAGAATCCGGATCTTCTAAAACATAATCAGCAGGAAGCAATCCTTTCTCGTTAGTGGGAACGAGTGACAGGTATGATTTAGGAGACGAAGTTGAACCTGGTGGCCTTTGAAAACCCGGCCGAGCTGCATTAAAAAATATCCATTTAGACTTTTTGTTAAATTCTACTGCTTTTGCTTTTCCCCCAGATGAGAGCCTAGTGGTTGAGGAGTGACACAGGAGGTCCAGAGTTTGAACCAAACCCTGACACACCCAAAATATTTCTAGTGTTCCGCGATTGATCTCCCATGTGGTCCGCTCAGAACGTGCGGTTTACAATTTTTTTCTAAAATTGTACTGTTTTTGACATGCATTGGACCGAGACTAAGACTGATGTCAACAAGACAAAAACTGCAATTTTTTTTTGTCCGCGGTTCACTTCTCACATGGTCCGTTCAGATGGTGCGGTTTACAATTTTTTTTTAAAATTGTACTGTTTTTGACATGCATTGGACCGAGAGTCTAAGACTAAGACTGATGTCAACAAGACAAAAACTGCAATTTTTTTTTGTCCGCGATTGACTTCCCACGTGGTCCGTTAGATGGTGCGGTTTACAATTTTTTTTTTAAATTGTACTGTTTTTGACGTGCATTGGACTGAAACTAAGACTGATGTCAACAAGACAAAAACTGCAATTTTTTTTGTCACATAGAGACTCACTCTCGATCTCATAGGTGCAAAAGACATGAATATATTCATCCTAATGATCATAAATAGCTCTAGAAAGCTTTCTTGGGCTATTTTTGAGGATGGGGGCATTTACGTCTTTTTACACAAACGAGTGATTATGAGCAAGTCACACAAATTTTTGTCCCCGTCCAAACGCAAATTTTTGTTGGATTGTAGTACATGATAAAATACTCAATTTGTGTTAGAATTTTACACAAGTATCTCATGGATTGTGACAAGTATTTTATGTTATGTTTTACTACATGTATATTTATTGAATACTTACTAGTTTTTAAGGAGCTTTCTAAAATTTTTCCAAATATACCCCTTAATTAATTATAGAAACACATTCTTGTAAATGCCCTTTATATGTCATTTTATATCTTTCAGCTAGTTTTACCGAATGCCATTTTTTATTAGCTAGCTTTTCAGCTAGTGCGCCAAACATAGCCTTAAGACACTTATTGGGTTGAAATCTATCCAATTATAAAAACAAAACAAAAGTAAAATGCTATAAATTGGTAGATTCATCAAATAATTAAATTATTTAGACTATTAGGAACATAAAATGAATTATAGAAAGAACTCACGTATGATGTACAAGTCTATTTTCCAATTGTAAGCTGGTTTGTTTATATGAGTCATCCTGACCGTTGGATCACCATATGTAATCTGTAGAAATAAGAAGTAATTAATAGTGTCTACTATTTAATTTTTATAAAGGGAATATAAATTAGAAGTTAGCAAAAAAAGGTTTAATGTTTTACCAACATATAAATCCCTCCAGGTTTAAGAATCCTACAAATAAAATAAAACATGTTATTAACTTATTATAAAATAAAGGAGATTGCAAGGAATAGCAATGTAATAATTATAGTTGGGTTTATTGAAAATAAAACCTGCTGACTTCCCCAAGCATTTGAGAAGCACTTAGTGGAGCATCAGTTCCACACTTCAAATTTAAAAAAAAAAAAAATGAAGAAAGTTAGAATATAAGTAAAAAAGATAAATAAAAAAACAAAAAAAAATTGAGCTTACCATGAGTGAGTCAAGAGTTCCTAAAACCCGCAGATCAGAAACCATGCAAAAGAACGCAAAAAAATGATTGTTAATATATAAAACACATGTTTAAAATTTGTAATTTCCACCAATTTGAGGAGGGCATTTATGTCTTTTGCACAGACGAGTTTCACCTATATGTGTAGGACAAAGAATTGTAAATGGGACATTGGTGGAATCCTCCATTTTGATGTTTTAATTATTAAAGATTTATATTCAAATAGGTGTAATTATTTCAATTTGTTATATGCAGAAATTTTCAAATTTGTTTTTAAGGAATAGTGGAAAGATCCAAGTTCAAAGTTTAATGTGTAAAAAATTGAGTACTTGATGGAAAGTTGATAAAAGTCAACATGATAAATAAAGTCAAGATATTCAAAGCTAAAAGGAATTCTATATATTTGTGTATTAAAGCATCCTACTTTTCATTTCATTCTATTATATAAACTTTTTTTTTTGTTATAATGGAATTGTAGTTTGAAAAATCTAACCAATTATAACATTAAACTTTTAATTTCTTTATTTTCAGGACATTATACAGTGAAGATGCTTTATATTTGATGGCATTGCTATAACTGAGTAGCTTTTGTCAAATTAAAAACGGGTTTTATGCAGAAAAGTCTTATTATTTTAGGAAATTTTTTGATAAAGTCCTAAATTATTTTTTTTGAACAGAAAAGTCCTAATTATTTAATTTTACACGATAATCTGTCATTTCCTGTTAAAATAAAAAGAGTAAATTACTAAAATCGTCCCTATGGTTTGGTCAAAATTGCATGTTTTGTCCCTAACTTTGCTTTTTTGCACTTTGTGGTTTGATTTTGTTGCGTTTTTCATCCCTTAGATACATAAAGTTAGGGACCAAACGTGCAAATTTGACCAAACCATAGGGACGAAAAACGGAACAAATCAAACCATAGGGACAATCCGAGTGCAAAAAAAAGTTAGGGACCAAACGTGTAATTTTCACCAAACCATAGAGGCGATTTCAGTAATTTACTCAAATAAAAATAAGGACTTTTTCGTTAATTTGGGCGAAATATTAAATAATCAGGACTTTTCTGTTCAAAAAAAAAATTAGGACTTTATCAAAAGTTTTCCTAGAATAGTAAGACTTTCCTGCATAAAACCCAATTAAATTAAAATGTTGTAATAAGAAAAAAAATCGGAAGTAGGACCCTTTAATAGTTTTGCATTTAACCTTAATATTAAAACCATATGAATCTAAAGAAATCAGTGTATACCTTTATCAATTACACTATCAAATGAATCATCAAGAAAAAAGCCCATATCCCGAACATCCATCTGCAAATCTTTAGATATAATTTATAAGGAATTACTAATTTACTATAATTTATATTTATAACAAAAAAAAAATCTTGAAAACCCAAATAAGACATATAAGAGAGAGGATACATTTTAACTGAGGAATATGCTCGTATTTCCTTCGCATCATTTCAATAGCTACACATGAAATGTCAACATTCATGATGTTTTCATATCCATCCTTCACCATGTCCTCTGACATAACTACAAAAAAATTGAAGAATGTATTTATGGAATTGGAATTTGAAGAATCTTTCGTGCATTTTGTTAGTAGGAAATGGAATGGAGTTCATGAGGCGTTATGGGGGTTAAAAGGGTATTTGAGTAATTTTAACAAGGAAGAAACATTGGGAGTTAAAACATCATATTGAACAGTTATAAGCCTATGTTGCTTATTAAGAGTTATATCAAATAACTCAAAACAGCATCCAAATCAACCGTATTTTGTCCAAAACTAGTTAGGAATTTAGTATAAAGCTAAATATTGAATCCAACAGAAATTTACAAAGATGCCCTCATATGTTATGATTATCATATGCCTTCCCCTTAATCTTTCCATAAATTATCTATAACAAGACTCACATCTTAATATTTGAACCACAATGGCTGCACAATCACTTTTACTCTTATGCAATAAACAGAATAACTACTTTCATACCAAGTTGAGTGTAATTAATGAAGATATGGAAGTCAGTGGTATATCGAGTGTCTGCCTCAATTATGCATCAGAAATTACATTCTTTTGTAAACAATTTCAATATAATTACAAGTATTCATCATGCATACTCTGTTCTTTGTCATTTTGGGGGAGGAAAGAAGCCAATTCAACATGATTATCTCAATCCTGTAAAGCACCAGTGTTTCCCTAATCCCCTTCTAAACAAAATTCAAACTCCAAGTACAAAAAAATCAAGTTTACTCAGAATTTTTATCTTTAATATTGCTATGAGACAGAAAAAATAGCTTGAAACAGTGATCCAGCACATCATATTCAAATAATTGTCCTATATGACATGTAAAAGAGAGTAACAGTATTTCACCTCGATGAAATAGTATCGAATTTCTAAAAAAACTACAGAAATTGTATGCATCTAATAGAGATTAAAGTGAGAGAGCTGATCGAGAATGAAACAGTATACCTGCATTGCCGCAACCAACCATAAGCACGCGAGAAGAGGTAGGAATGTATTTTCGAACAAAAGGACGAAGGGCATGATAACGCTGATACCAATCGAATGAACCAGCGGATGCTTCATGAATGTATCGAGCATCCCAGTAAACGGAGTCGCCATAGTTGTATGTATTGCATGCCGACTCATCCCTGAACATCTTTTGTTCTTACCAGTGACCGGCGCCGGTGAAGGTGGAAGTGGAGGCGGTGGTTGGAAGTGACGATCGCGAGGGGTTTGATTGTATGCGTAGTGGATGGGTGGTGGTCGTCGTAAGCTGTGGTTGTGGTGGTTGGGGCGGTGGTGGTTTGGATTTTGTTTGTCTTTTTGGGAAAATCCTTCGCCAGAGCATAATTTCTCAAGATCTAAAATGATTCTGCATTTACAACTTGTACAGTACGCATTGAGAGTTGTACACTGATACGTAGTAGTTAGTCCTGATTTTGGAAGAACAAACGTGTTAAGTAACCCTAACACTTTGTTAAAGAAAAAAGCAATACAACAAATTATACCATTATTTTATTATTTTATTTGCTTTTGAGTTGGAAAAAAAAAAGAAATAGAAAAAAGTTTAACTTTCATAATATTATACCATTATTTTAACTTTTTGAACAATTTTATGTTGAATGAAATATTTGTGTTTTTTAAACATTTTATTGAATAATTATAAAAAAATGTAAGACATTATATAAAATATAAAGATAAATATAATGCTTGAAAATCCATAAAAATATACTAGAATCCAAATTAAACATAATATTTTGCATAAAATTTCGAAACATTTAAAAACAATTAATTATCAATATGATTTCTCATATAGACTATATTCATTCTCTTTAGAAATTGATTCTGTTTTTGTGTATATTTTCTTGTGATATTTTGGGAATTTTTTTAATAAATTTTCTTGTGTATATTTTCTCATATAGACTATATCTTCAGAAAAATTCTAATATTTTGGGAATTTTTTTTAATAAAGTCCTAACTTTTATTTTTTGAACAAAAAATCCCGACTTTTTCACTTTTTGAATAGAAAAGCCAAAGAAACCGGTTAATTTATTCATTTTTGCCCATTTTGACCTATTTAACAGATCATGATACCAAATTGTTAATTTTTCGAAAATAATAGGATTTTTCTGCAGCTGTCATCAAACTTTGTATATAATGTCTAAACGTATTTTTTTACGTATTTATATCAATTTTTACGTATTTGTATATTATTTTAAGTTTTTGTATGTATATGTTTACGTATTTTTATGTATTTTAAATTTATAAATGTATTTTTTTTACTTATTTAAATGTATTTTTAGCTATTTTACATATTTTTATGTATTATGTATTTATATGTATTTTTACGTATTTATGTATTTTTTTTAAGTTTTTTATGTAGATTTTATGTATTTTAAAAGTATAAACGTATTGTTTAAGTATTTATATGTATTTTTAAGTATTTTACATATTTTTTTATGTATTTTTATACATTACGTATTTTTGCGTATTTATGTATTTTTTAAAGTTTTTATATAGATTTTTTATATTTTTATGTATTTTAAATGTATAAACATATTGTTTTACATATTTATATGTATTTTTTAAGTATTTTATATACTTTTTGTGTATTTTTACATGTTTTTTTATGTATTATGTATTTATATGTATTTTTGCGTATTTATATGTATTTTTTAAGTATTTTATATACTTTTTGTGTATTTTTACATGTTTTTTATGTATTATGTATTTATATGTATTTTTGCGTATTTATGTATTTTTTAGTTTTTTATATACATGTTTATGTATTTTTATGTATTTTAGATGTTTAATCGTATTATTTTTACATATTTATGTATTTTTTTTTACTTTAAGTCATCTTCACCATTTCATCTAATTCGCACAGCTCCTTCAAGTATGTCTAGATGGTTTTCCTACACACCCATATATTTTAAGTTTTTCCCATTCATTGTTTAATTTCAAGATAAGTGCTTAGGAAAAGCTTAAAATATGTGGGTATGTAGGAAAACCATATAGACATAATCGAAGAAGTTGTACGAACCGGATGAAATAGTGAAGACGACTTGAAATAAAAAATACATAAATATGAAAAAGAATATATAATTATACATTTAAAATACATACACACCTATATAAAAAACTTTAAAAAAATACATAAATATATAAAAATACATATAGATACGTAATGCATAAAAACACATCAAGATACATAAAAATATGTAAAATACTTAAAAATAGATATAAATATGTAAAAGTACGTTTATACATTTAAAATACATAAAAGTACATAAACATCTATATAAAAAACTTAAAAAATACATAAATATGTAATACATAAAAATAACACATAAAAATAAATAAAATAATATGTAAAATAATTAAAAATACATATAAATACAATAAAAGATACATTTATAAATTTAAAATACATAAAAAATGTAAACATGTACATATAAAAACTTAAAAAAAGACATAAATATGTAAATATATATATAAATACGTAATACATAAAAAAAATAACACATAAAAATACATAAAAAAATATGTAAAATACTTAAAAATACATATAAATACATAAAAAAAATACATTTATACATTTAAAATACATAAAAATACGTAAACATATACATATAAAAACTTAAAAAATACAAAAGTGCGTAAAAATAGATATAAATACGTAAAAAAATACGTTTATACATTATATATAAGTTTTGACGAAATCTGCAAAAAAAGTCCAATTTTTTTGGAAAAATTAATGATGTGGTCCTATGACCTGCTAAACAGGTCAAAATGGGCTAATGTGAATAAATTACCTGGGTTATTGGACTTTTCTATTCAAAAAGTTAAAAAATCGGGACTTTTCTGTTCAAAAAATAAAATTTAGGACTTTATTAAAAATTTTCCCAAAATATTGAGATTTTTATGTAGATTTCCCTATTATTCTTAGTTTCTTTATTTGCACTTTTGTATTTAGGAGTAGATATGGTGTTTCTTTTCAAAATTCATGAATAATTGATCGTGAATATTGTATTTTCTTATAAATTTAGGGACCGTGTTATGTTTATTTTTATTGAAAAGGGATAAAGAGTTATTTGCTTTATGTAAGGTTATCTTACATTCAAAACATCATGAGAACTCTCAGTAACATTTATGAGTTGTGCATAAGCATAATTAGATCTTTCTTGTGTAATGAATGCACATTGTTGTTGAAAATCGTCTCGACAGTATCTTGTATTACAAAGTTATAAATTTCCGAATATTGGTGTATGTAATGTCAGACAAGTAATATTTATATGTAAATGTGAGTGATAATATTATTACATAAAAATTAAAAATACATAATTAATTAAATAATTAATCTTAAAGAAAGATGACATACATTGTGGAGGAAAATGAAAAATAAGAAGTCTAGTTTAATGTAATTTCTTTCAAAAATCATGAAGCATGTGTTATGCCTTGTCATTTGGTCCATGCACACGTGAATATCATATCAAAATTACAAATTCTTAATATATTTTGATAGCATTCTCCTTATCCTCTTCCCTTATAAAAAGATGTTAATCAGTGAACACAATTACCGTATGTACAAAAGTTCTACCTAAAATCTCATATAATAAAATTGCACAACATACAATTCCAAAACATAAAACGTCGATAATATAAAGTTTCATAACATAAAACCCCATAACTAAGTATCCATAACATAACGTAATCAAACTTTCCTAAAGTCGATACCAAGTCTAACAACAAACCATACTTACTTTTAACATTCCTAATCCATGTCTCACAACAATCAAATTAAGCCGCAACCAAACTCTACTATGTCTCACAACAATCAAATTAAGACGCAACCAAACTTTTGTAAAACCGAGGCTTTACCCAAAAAGCAAAATAATGGTACTATATTTTTGGTCTTCTGTTTCCTATTAAAAAATTCTCTAATCATTTCCATATTATAATTCACATCGTCAATAATAATATGTTTTTTTTTCCACTAATAAGCTTGCAACCTTATAAATTTACACGCCAATTTATATTATCTTTGAATTAAGTGTATCTTTGCCTTTACATTTCGATACTTATTTTTTGGAACAAGTTAGCGACTCTTTGCTTGCTTGAGAACCTATTAGAGTTAGGGTTTTCTCGGGTCGAGTTATATGCTCATGTTTATATAAGTTAAGATCAAGTAGTTCCTTATAAAGAGGGGAAATTATCTGGAAAAGATGGGAAATCTAAAAAGATGGTCCCCAAAATGTCAAATCTATTGGAAGTTATGCATAGATCAATGATAAAATAGTGGTACAATTATCAAAAAATTTCCCCATATTTGTTTGATTATTAATTTTTTTATGTGTGCAAGAATAATTTTATAAGAATAATATAAATGTAATCATAGTTTTTATTTATAAAATCCACAACCTTAATCTCTATTTTCCATTCTTCTTCTTCCAAATTACATTAGTTCTTTATTGGATCATACACATTTTGTTCCTTAACTTCAACCAATTTACAATTTTGGCTTTAAAATTGTAACGTCCCAAATTTCAAAGAATTTTTTTCATTTAATATTAAAAGAATTTGTTCCAATTACAACTTCAAAGATATAAATAAAGCCATTCGTTTCCAAAACAACAATCAGAGTATAAACATAATAGTTATTAAGTGTTAAATTCTCTAATGGATGTGATACAATCAAGTCGCGCCCTTCCATCAATACAAGAAAACCTGAAACAATCCAAAATTATAACCGTAAACACGAAGCTTAGCGAGTTCCCTAAGATACCACATACATAACATTACAGTTTATTTCAGCTATTGGGTCTGTTTCAACCCATGTGAATGTTATGGTCCTCCCACAATTTTTACAATCACTTCCGTTGTTGCAGTCCTCCTATAGTCTTTCTTGTTATGGTCCTCCCTTAGTCTTTCATACAACTACTATGGTCCTCCCATAGTATTTCATGCAACTGCTATGGTCCTCTCATAGTCTTTCAGACAATTTTTATGGTCCTCCCATAGTCATTCATGCAATTGTTATGGTCATCCCATAGTCTTTCATACAACTATTATGGTCATTCCATAGTTTTTCATACAAAAGTCACAAAGACAGTCTAGCATCCTACATAGTATAGTGAGAAAACTAACCTAAACTAAACAGTAGAAGCTCAATAGCAACCTCAGCAACAACGGAACCACTAACCCAAGCTATCTAATGCCAAACAGAGACTAGTCCTTAGTTAAATACCCAATTTTGTTGGGTTTTCTCTTGGGGTTTTTAGCCCATGAGGAAAGCCCACTTCTTTAGCCCATGCA